ACATAGTGCAGATTCAAGTTTGTTCAAATCATGACCCTGGGGCAAAGGTGGGGCCAAAATGGCCGACCCAAGTTTTACATAGGAATGTATAGTAAAAATCTTTAAAAATCTTCTTCTCCAGAACCACTGGGCCAGGAAAGATGAAACTCATGTGGAATCATCCTCAGGTAGTGTAGATTCAAACTTGTTCAAATCATGACCCCCGGGGCAAGGATGGGGCCAAAATGGCAGACCCTAGTTTTACATAGGAATATATAGGAAAAATCTTTAAAAATCTTCTTCTCCAGAACCACTGGGCCAGGAAAGATGAAACTCATGTGGAATCATCCTCAGGTAGTGCAGATTCAAGTTTGTTCAAATCATGACCCCAGGGGCTAGGGTGGGGCCAAAATGGCCGACCCAAGTTTTACATAAGGATATATAGGGAAACCTTTTAAAATCTTCTTTTCAAGTACTTCAAAGCTATGATTAGTGATATTTATATGGAATCATCCTCAGGTAGTGCAGATTCTAGTTTGTTCAAATGATGACCGCCTGGAGGGGGGGGGCGGGGGGAGTAACTTCAAGCCCGATGTGCTCAGGTGAGCGCTGTGGCCCCTGGGCCTCTTGTCATTTGTTGGTGTTGAAAAGTGACAGACTTGATGTTACATCATGAAAAACAGTACAAAATACATGTATGTAAGAAAAAATTAAAATGAAAGGTATAACAAAACATTTATTAACTGTGATTTCAGGCAAAATGTATGTTGTTGACCCTCGAACCTAATGGCCTCAGGCAGACAGTTTGATTCTTAAATAGGGTCCGACAATACACATGTTGCCCTCGAACTCAATCAATAAATGTGTAATGATACAAATAGATAATTTTATTTGTATGTTGTTTAACGATGTTGAGAATTTTGCACTCATATGGAGAGGCCACATATTATTTGCTGGTAAATATCTGCAAATTTTGTCCTATACTTAGGACTTAGGGCAATTGAGCAGGGAGGGATCTTTTTTGTGTCAGCACCAACTGCGACACAGGACCTGGGTTTATATGGTCTCATCCAGCGGGATTTGAAACCGTGATGAAGGATTGACTCCTTATTAAAGTAACATCAGAGCAGATGCTCTAACCACTTCATACAATCATTGATTGTTTGCACAAAATTTCATAATTAAAATTTATCCCAAGCTCTCGCTCTCTCTTTGTTTTTATAAGAGACATGCTTTAATTGTTTACCTGTCAAAGATCATTGACGGACACGTAGAAATTGGCTTCGATTCTGGGGTACTGTGCCACATACATGTAGAAGCATCAGAAATCAAGAAGGCAATAAAATCTGAATCAAAAATCTTTTCCTCTTACATTGTAATTGTTCTAATTTTTTCTGACTATTTATCAGTTGTTTTTAGTGGGTATAGAATACATGCTACTACCTTAGTACTAATTTTATAAAACTGTTTATTTGTCCAGGTAATTAAAAATTGTGTGTGTGTGTGGGGGGGGGGGGTAAATAAAATCTTCAAGTCAGCTGCAGTGCTGGTATAAATTTTAGAATCTCCCTTTCATTTGCATACTTTGTCTACTTCGACTGGAAATGATTCATTATTTAACATGTTATCATGAAAATATTGTTCCAGTTCAAAAAATAATACATGTATCTATATTGATAGACCTACTGGTAACTCAAAGGCCAATAATAATCTGATAATTTGACTCATGTAATATTACTTGACACCCCCTTCCCCCAACTTCTGATAGTGGCACATTTTCATCATATTTAGTTTTTACATGCATTTTAAGGTGAATATAAACATGAATCACAAGTAAAGCAAAGTATTACCTGACTTCAGACAGTAATGGTGGGTGTCCAGTTGAGGTTAAATCAACATATAGACTAGCTATCTCTATGTACTTTGATCTCATGACACCTGTATTATTACCTGTCAGGTATTTTACTTCCTGGTTGATGTATGTGTTCTGAAGATATAAATACTAGTTCAAACAATCTACTGTGCCTTGACATATTTTACACTTCATGGGCAGTAAAATGTGCAAATCACATGATTTATCATTATCAATAGAATTAAGAGCAAAGTGTATTGAGTTCAAATTGTGGGATAAGATGCTTGCATGTTATAGTTAAACTGGACTTTTCATGCTTGATGCAGACAGTGGCATAGCTACCATGTATGCTTGTATGCTCGAGCATGCACATCATTTTGCAAAAAAAAAAAAAAATTAATGAAATAAATACATGTAAATAAAAAATGAGACATGAAGAAATTGAGTACAAATTGATAAGTACATGTATGTTAACGATAGAATAAGAAACCAACCACTGTACGTGATTGATACACATGAAAATTTTCAAAAATTGTTAGGGCGGATAACCTCAAAAAGCTTATTGATTTTTAAGGTATCTCCGCCCACATGGGCCTGTAACATGCTAAATTTGAATTTCGTTATGACTTTATATATTCAAAAAAATATAGTCATAACTTAAATTCAAATTTAGCATGTTACTAGCCCCTGTGTTTCCGCCCTAATGTGATGGCATAGGTTTTTGAACAAAAAAGTTTTATCTTGTATATTATTATTTTTTTTTTGAAAGGTGTGTACGGTTTGTGTGTGTAAGGTTTTTACGGGTGTAATGAAAAATTAGAATATGAATTTTAACCATGCAGCGAGATTTAACATATCTTTTATTATACTTATACTAATACTATTTAATCTAAGCGGTTTTTAATGAAAATAAATGCAGTTTTTCTACATTGAACCCATAAAATTATGAAAGTGGATAAACCTTAATCATCTAATTTTCTCAACTCAAATTAAATTTTAGGGTTGAATAGACCAAATGATTTAATATATCATGTGAATTTAATTAGATTCTTCTGGGCAACTTCTTTTTTTATTATAATTTTACCTTTGGTGACCTATAGCTATCGGCTTAAATTTGTCCACTAGCTGAAAAAATAAATCCTAATATCTTGTTTTTTCCGACTTTTCTAATATTTTAAGAAAAAAAAACCAATGCAAAACTTTTTATACTTGCCAAAAAATCACAAATTTAAATAGTTAATAAGATGCTAATTAACTACGATAGTCCGAAAAATTTAAGATAATAAAAAAAAAAAATCTGTCTCTCGATCTACTATTATATTAATCTCAGTGAGATCAGAAGAGACTAAAAATTTTGGTCTGGAGTCTGAACAAAATTTTTAGACTCTATGGATCTCGCCAAGATAACTATCATAAAGGCTTCTAATGGTTTTATTTATAATGATAAAACGATGTCAAGACATGCATTTTCTCAACTTTATTTTATGATTTTATGAGTGTTTAAACTGTCAAAATCCAGGAGCTTCCGGGGGCTTCACCCCCTGGGCCCCCACCAGGGCTTCGCCCTGGACCCACTGGGGGCCTCAGGGCGGCACCCAGACCCCTTGCCAAATTTAGCATGCACTTCGTTTTGAGCCTAGCTACGCCACTGGCAGAACAAATGGGGTGGGAGTATGAAAGGGGTTATTTCTATCGTAGACATGCATATTTTCTAGATTACCTGACATCTTGTATGAGGATGATGCATGTTACATTTTTTGAAAATTTTCCGTCATTCGATGTAATTGTTGAGCCGAATTAAACTATTTTATTAAGGTATTAACATAATTATGCTTATAATAAATGAAGTAAAACTGAAAAACGTTAATATCATTACCCTATGGTGGCATATTTATGCCATCCACATAATTTTTTTGTCAACATAGCATATCATGTCAAGTCTGGATAACTATCTCGTCAAGTCATGATAACTTTCTGGTTTGTCGTCAAAAACTGACTTTTATCTTGTACAGTCAAGATAAGCTATCATATTTTTGCGATAGTTACCTCGACCAAAATAGATAATTTATCTTGTATTGTGACTAAAAGTTATTTCATTATGTCAAGATAGATATTGCAACAAAATGTGATAGCTTATCTTGACCAGATAAGATATAAAGTCAGCGTTTGAAGACAAACCAGAAAGTTATCATGACTTGATGAGATAGTTATCTTGACTTGACATGATATGCTATTTTGACAAAAAATAAAGTGGATGGCATAAATATGCCACCATATTACCCCACTACCATTGGAGTCAGAGTCCGCAAATTTGTAAAATTCATGATCTTTGTCTCCAGTGGCTTTGTTCAGACCCTTTAGCAATGCAAAATTGGATAATAATGTGTTTGAAAATACTTAACTACAGCCTTTAAAGGCTTCTTTAATTTTAAATTATGAACGCACAACCTTCTACATAAAATAAAATTATGCCGGTTTTGGGTTTCATGTTTTGGCCAAATTGGTAATATTTTCCCTTAGTTGAGACTCCAATGTAGGGAATCTACAGTATTTGTACAATTGAAGGTACAGGTACTTACAGGGCCTGGCACTATAAGTCACAAGTCTTTCTGATGGGACCCTGATCAAACAAGGTCTCATGTCAGGGTTATCTTGCCAAGTCAAGGGTTTTAAGCCCCTGCACTCCACATAAACCCTGATAAGAGTGAAACAAAAACCCAAGATTTGGCACAATATTAAGAACACTCACTGCCCAATGGCCCTGAATGCTGAATAAAGGTCATAATTCAAAGCCCTTGATAGTATAAGTGACATCTCTATATGAGTGGAACATTTTTAAATGGATGTAAAACAACATTCAATCAGTGCCAACGCAGAGTCACCCTAAATTGAAGATACATATCAAAAAGTTTAGAATGCTTTTACTATAAAAAATAACCTATTAGTGTTACAATACACAAAGAATCACCAATATTTAACCATTTGTCTATGAATTTTTATTTCAATTCTTCCATATTGTATGTACATGTATATCTCTACCAACTTATTTCTATTTCAGGATCTCTACAAATCTGGGTTTTTCTACATTGAGGGCTGTTTTTACAATGATTTCCGTGACAGTGGTGCAATTGATTACAGCCAGTAAATATTTTTTTAATTAAACTTAACATATACTTTATCTGGTAGAATTGCCGTACAGTTATGAAATAGGCAAATTAATTGTTATGTAATAAAAGTAAAAGGAAACATAAGTTTGAATGAAAAAGTTAGCAAATGATGTCTCTCTCTTTCTTTCTACATTAAGTGGGAGGGAGAGGAGAGGGCGAAGTTTGTTTATTAAGCAACATCTTCGCTAGCCAAGAGTTTCTGATACGCCACTCTCCTCATAGCGTAAACCTTTGGCTAGCAAAGATGATTCAACCTAAACATTTGAATTTTTAGAGTGATTCGTGACTGGGCCAAGGACCCGGCCCGGGAGATAGGAGCCATGCAGACAGCCTCAATGGAGGACACATCATTCCTGGACCTGACCCTCAGACTTGGTCAACCCTACGTTTACATGCACCAGGGAGACTGTGAACACCTTATTGTCTTCTCGGATATCAGGTACCTCAAGAAATCTTCAAAGTGCGATTAAAAAATATCGTGTGGAAATTTACTAAATATAATTTTTTATCTCTATTTTCCTGAACTTTGTGTATAGGATAGTTTCATCTGATTTTATTTTCTTTTTCGGAAAAAAATCAAAATAGAATAATATACCGTAATTTTCGGGTTATAGGTCGATACTTTTTTTCTCAGAACCGCTGGGGTCGCCCAATATACGAATTCGACCTTTCTAAGGCTCAAGTTTACGAAAAATGTCCCAAAATCAATAAAATTTACGTAAATTTCAGAGCAAATTTGTGCCACTTCCGTAACTTTTTTGATTATTTTTCGCAAAAAATTAATGCCTAGGTAAACAATAAAATATTTATTCTATAGCTTTCTTACAAAATAAATTCCACTAAATATCCGTTGATGACAAAGGAAAAAACTGTGCTTCATCAAGTTAATAATTCCTCAACGTGTTATCCATTGCCATGCGGTAGCCATCTTGTGAAGTTAGGAAGTCGCTACCGTTTACTAAAAGAAAAACCGCAACCGTATCAAAATTTAAAATACAGAAAATTTTTCAAGATCAGAAGTGTAGTGTTTTACCATTAATTAGTAGATTGATAAATTGAAATAGTATTAATTTTTTTTATTGTGACAGTCTTATATTTATTTTAATGTAAAATGAGTGAAATAAATTGTTGCCAGTCAATTCCTAAATTTAATTACCAAATAAACCGATAGTCATTACTATATATTTTTTTATTTTATTTAATTATAATACCGGTCAAACGAACTTATTTTGAATATACCGGTACTATCATACGTATTCGGAAGTTATTAATTCATTTCTTATAAACTTTAAAGTATCGGTAAATTCACGATGCGTTTTTTTTTTATTTGCTGAATTTTTTTTGTATAACTAATTCTTCCATCCAATAATTTCCCCGTACACAAGAAGTACACTAAATTACCGCTATACAAAGATTGGCTTCTAACGAATTTTAATTGTCTGACAGATAAAAGGATTTACACTGTGTACACGCAACACCTGTGTTGGTTTAATACCCGCAGGGCATGATTAGCAAATCCACGTGCCGTTATAGGGTATTAGTGTTACACATCATTGATCAAACAAAGCCATGAAATTCATAATGACTGTCAAATTGTGGATGTACCGGTACTCTCAATTTAATTTATAAATTAAACTTACAGCGTGGTAATATTTCAATTCTTTACTGTTGCTTTATATATACATTCAATGGTCATTTGCGGGTTTTAGCATATCCCTGAAGAACAAAAATTAAAATGGCGGACATCGAAGCAATTGTCGTCCACCGGTAAATAACTAACTGAATAAATTATATTAGGAATGTGTCCAAGTTCTGAAATCAGAATTATTATTCTTTGATCTCGGATATTTCCCGAATTATAGCTTAAAATAAGAAACGTATTTACGTGTTATTTTTGCCTCTGGTTTAACAACAGTATGAAACTTCGGAGGCATTGAACAGGCAAGTTGGAGAAAAATAAGTGGTAACACAATTCAATGAAGTTTTAACTACATTCTTTTGTTTTCATGATACGTTCATGTCACGGAATTGCCCCGGTAATTTAGGTTTACTTGTTCTGATACGTTGTATCTGCGTAAGAATCTTTAGAAAACGGGAAAAAAAAAGCCTCGTCCTATATAGTAAGTTCATCCTATCTTAGGATTTTTCAAAAATTAAGGCTGAAAATGAGCCTTTCGACCTATATACCCCATCGACCTATAACCCGAAAATTACGGTAACTTTTTTTTCAATTTCTGATATTTTTCTCTTTTTTTTTCTCTATTTTTCTGTTTTTTCTTTAGAATAACTGGTACACAAAATGAGAATTTTATAGGTTTTATTATCCGGAAACATAATTGCCAGTTTAAAATCAATTTGATAATAAACTAAGTTAAGTATAATTTAGAGCCATTAAATTCTTGTAGGATATTGAGTCCTCAGGATACACAAGATATCAGAGAGTACCCTCTTGTAACACACAAACGTCTGAAGAACCAGACCAAATGTAGAGTCTGCCAAATGCATGCTTCCAGGTAAATATTTAAAGTAAATTGTTTTAGATCCGTGTGAGAGAACAATTCTTGGTTGTTGAATGAGTAATATTTAGTGAGATGATATATATATATATATATTGTCATCAATATCATTTTGTCCCGTATTTTGTTGTTTCAATAGTTGTTCTTTATTTTGTTGTATGATATAGTCCTTTATTTTGTTGTATGATATTGTCCTTTATGCTGTTATTTAATTATTTATCCAGTTTCTGTTGTATAATTAGTTGTCCTCTATTTTGTTCTATAATTAGTTGTTCTACATTCTAGGTGGATGGCGTACAACAGTGAGCATGCTCCTGAGGATCCCAGCTTTTTCTGTGAACAGTGTTTCCGATCTCTCCATTATGACCAGCATGGAAACAAGATTGGAAATTTCCAGGCGTTTCGATTCTTTGACAGTAATTCCGTTATATAGTACTCACAGGAACAATAAGGCTTTCACCTAATCTTTGATAGTAATAAAGATATTTGTGAATAGTGATGCCTCTCTCAATGCCCAAGGAAACATGCAGTCATCCTGATAACTTACCCAATACTTCAGTAATCAGTGTGTGTATAGTTCCAGACTCAAGGAAAACCTCCAGTCATGCAGAGGCCAGCTTACTGCTTCACAGATACCTACCTCAAAGGGACAGCCAGAAACAGCATTCTAAAGAAATATAGTTTATTCAGGATGAGCGTTTAGCATTCAGATACTGATACAAGTTATGTTTTATTTCAGTAATGTAACAACTTACTCTTTATACAAAAACATTAAGGATGCAATGAAGAATGTAATTAATATAAACTGAAAGAACTATACAGATCCTCATCAATTTTGAATTGTTAGCCTAGATTTTTTAAATGTCAATGAAGATTATTGTGAAAGAAGTTTGATGAATTTTAACTCTTTCTACCATACCACAAAGTGTTCATAAAAAAACAGAGCACTTAAGAAGTTCAATGTTTTCTTTCTTGTACAATCATGTAATAAAGTACATAAAACTTATTAATTTGTGGCTTGTTTCGTGCTCACAATTCTGTATCCCCAATCTTGAGAAGCTACAGTAAAGGCTTGGTATCAAGTCATAATCCAAGATCATTAGCATCTGTTTAATTATGAGTACTAAGTTGAAAGATGAACATTTGAGATCACCTCTCTCTGCTTAATCCTCACAGTTATATAGAGTTCTGAGTGTATGTTAGTTTTACATGTTAAAGACATGTAAGTAAGCTGGGATGCAAGTTTTTAGGAGGAGTGTCTACTTCTGCTATAATAAATGTAAGACAGAATTACTGTAGATCACTTATTTTTCGCGACACCTTATTTTCGCGAGATAGTCATCGTCTCTTTATAAGCGAGACAAAATTTTCACGAATTGTGGTCATTACTCTATATAATCTTACGGAATTCTATTATACGCGAGAATGAAATTTTCGCGAGCATACCTTCTCGCGTAATTACGCGAAAATAAAGTTCTCGCGAATAAAAAGTGATTTACAGTATTTAACTTTAAACAAAAGAAGAGGGAACATCTAAATCAACCTTTCTAAATATGGAAAATACTTTTTTGTTGTGGTGATGTTTGGGGCACATTTTTCTTCAGTAGAGGGTGCCATTTTTTAAATAAAACTAAGAAATTCTGTAGTGCCAAACTTTCAATTTTGTCCATGCATGGAATTAATTGATTTTCAAATAAAAACAATACAGTTCACATTTTTGTGTATGTACTGTGTATGTCTTATTACCGATATATAGTGGTTTCATTTCACTGTATCATGCATCTTTTGTGGAATATTTCATTACCAAATAAACAGTCCACATGCACCAGCCTAACAACACTTATCAAGGCTTCAGCATGAAGGTATAGATCCTAATCTCATCAAGTCATGTGATTCAGATACCTGAGACCATAGAATTGTTTCTTGGCGACTTCTTTTATACCAATTATAAGTTCTTTGTTTTTATCAATGAGAGTAACGATGTTGAAATTCATTATCTCTGAATAGCTCTGCTTGATTAACATTGAAAACTGTCTCATTGGTGCAAACAGAGATTTACAATGCCACCATTAATGCGTTTATATATTATGCCCCTCCTTTGACGAAGGGAGGGCATATTGTTTTGCTGTTGTCAATCACTTGGACGGTCCACCAACAGTTTTAATTCATTTTCTTTTCAGAGGTTGCACATACTTAATGAAATTTGGTATACAATTTTATATTAAATAAAAATACTATAACATTCTGAAAAAAGTAAGATATAAAGATTTTATTTCATCATTAATGATAACTACATGATTTGAATTGTGCAAGGTTAACAAAAGAAAGCCTCTTTCGTTACTCCTCACTGGACTTTTGCGGAGACACTGACCTTTACAGTTGACGGCTTACTTTTACACCAGAAAAATATACGAGAGCTCTTTTGTGGAAAAGAAAATAGAACTTAACATTTAACAAAACAATAATAACGGGCTATTTCAAAGATCACATTACGTGAAGGAAACGGCAACATTCCTACCCTCAACACCCTCCCTTCAAGTCTTGACTAACTTCTGCCGAGTTTTCTTACCGAAACGTGTCTTCTTCTTTATTTCATTTCTTAATTTGTTGAAAATGAAAGGATATGTTAATATTTGTAAAAAAAAGTATCTAAATAAATTTTTTACCACCAATTTTATTTTTTCTTTGATAAATTATTTCAAAGCATCGTATACAATAACTTTCAACTCATTGGATGCTTTCTATTTTTTCTATTTTCAATTCCGTATCTCCATACATGACGCAGATTTAATTGTCCAAGTAAGCATTTAACTGGTAAACTCAGTGTCTTCGCAAAAGTCCATAAAAATATTGAAAGTTGTGAAGGAAAAACTTCAAGAGTACTGTGTAATATATTCAAGAAGTGATATGAATTAGATGTGGATACTTAAAAATTCCAAAGAACTTTTGGACAATTTGAAATCACAAGATTTACCAAAATCAACAGCTTAAAAACTTACGACTTTTCAACCTTATACACAACCTTCCCCACGATAAATTTAAGTCCAGGCTTTTTGATATCATTGACAGCTGCTTCTTCAATAAAAATGGAACTCGTAAATTTACTTACCTGGTCATTTGTCATTTACAAATTTTTTTTTGTTAAAGCACATTCTGATTGCACACACAAGTACTCTGAAGTTGACATCAAAGAGATGCTTGAGTGTGGTTTTTGGAGACCAGGTATTACCACAATCTATTGGCATTCCCATGGGTACCAATTGCGCTCTGTTATTAGCAGAACTATTTTTTTTATTCACATGAAGCAGATTTTGTGCAGAATCTTATTCGTGAAAAGAAGAAAACACTTGCTGTGGCCTTCAACTCGACATTTAGATATATCGACGACGCATTTTCAATTAACAGTAGTAATTTCCATTCATACGTCGATACGATATATCCTGGTGAGCTTGAGAAAGATACCACAGAGCCTGACACATCTGTTTCATACTTGGATATTTTACTGAAAAGACAGACGTTAACGGTAATCTAACAACCAAGCTATATGATAAACTTGATGACTTTAAATTTTCGATCGTCAACTTCCCTCACTTATGCAGCAATATACCTTCATTACCTGCATACAGAGTATATGTTTATCATATATGTATATCAGTTGATTCGATAGAGCAGGTTCTACGTATGAACAATTTCTAAATCGAGGTAAATTATTGACAAGCAAGTGGATGAAATAAGAATATCAACAATCTCATTTAAAGTCACCATTTCTTAAGTTCTATGGTCGATACAATGACCTTGTCAACAAATACAATTTATCATTAAATCAAATGCTGACTGACGTTTTTCATACTAATTGTTCGTCCATTATTTATACAATGACTTAACGACGGAATTTTCTGTTATTTCCCGATCATGACAAGGAGCATTCGGCGGGTGTGACCGGTCGGCAGGGGATTCTCACTCCTCCATGGCACTTGTTCCAATCTCTGATGTTTCGGAGATCTGTGTTTGCTCTGCCTGCTCCTATTTTGTATTGTTTAATAGACTTTGAGATTGAATACTGTTCGTTATCCCCATTTCTTTCTATCTAGAGATCTGAAAAAAATGTACAGTTACAAATATCTGTTATGTATGTGCATGATGCATTTAAGTACATGTAGATGTGATAAGATTAACAAGTCTGAAATATTGTTTTCTCCATGACTTTTTTTGTCATCCTCACAATGACAAGGTTTTGGGATTTCAAAACTCCATACAAACTGTCTATAGTTTTGAAATCAGTAAACCTTAAATTGACATTGTGATGATGTTTTTTTTGTTTGCAGGTTGCTTTCAATATAAAGCTATGATCATACATCTATAATGAATTTATTGATTCTGCTTCCAGCTGTCCCTTGATCAGACCATTCCAGTACTGGGGTGTGAGAAGTTAACAGACCTCAGAGACAAAATCACCTGTGTTAATGATTTAGCTCTGGCAGGAGACCTTAGTGAAAACCCAGACTTCACTCCTGAACACTATGCCAAGGTTTTTGGTTCAATAAAATTATTTTTCATAAGTTTAACAGAGTAATGCTGTCCTATCTGTGATCAGATTGGGAAATTCATTATCTGTTAATTAAAAAAATTATAATCACTGTCAGGGTTCAACATTAAGTTACATCCGACCGAGTCTGACAAGTAAAAGTTCGGTCCGGTATATTTTATATCACCCCAAGGTAGCCTGACCGGTCTTGAAAAAACATTCCTCAGTACATTTCTGAACAGTTGATTTTGTTTGTATTATCGATGTGTTAAATCTGGTTTCACTTTCATTTTTGATCCCGATGAAAATTATTCACAATTTCAAATACTGTAAATGTATTATATTTAGCGTGTACGATATTTGGCGGAAATTGACTTTTGAATAAGTTAGCAGAGATTTAATTTAGGGCATTTCTTCATTTTCTTATTTATGTGTATATGTGAAAGACACTTAGCATTTTGCTTGATTTAGCGGTTGCTGTGTTACGCTAAATCCGCTAAAAAGAATACACAGCCAAATTTAATCTGTTTACAGTATTCCTGAAAAGGAAAATGAAAGAAAACTCTTATTTTTACTGCATCAAAATAGTTTTTACCGATTTTGTTTTTATATCATTAGTGTAATTTTACATATATCATTATTTTTCCAATGTTTTTGCTAAAAAGACTAAATCTACTAGGATTTATATAGGAGTTATCCTTCCTGCTAGGTCATGTCTACGACATCTACGGTGTACGATTTCAGGTCTTCAGAATCGATTAGAAATACATCTCCCTTTCTGATATATATTTTGAATTCGATATGAATTAATTTAGAATATTTTTGTTCACGAAAAATTAAAGTGATTAATAAAAAAAGACCAACTGACGATAACCATCCATTAGTTTACATTGACTTTGGTTTCTCCGGTGGAGGAAAAAACGAAGAAGGACTATTATTTACACTGAAACAAGATTACTTCCTTTAAAACTGTCTGTCTAATATATGTATATATTTATTTCATGTACCCGGTACATGTATGATCATACTGTAATTATTTTAGCAAAAAAAAGGCAAAACAACAACTAATGTATGATCATTCAGTGATTCACAGATATAAGGTCATGTCTAGTGAAGTTGAGGTAAGCTCTCGTAAAATTTCCAATAACTAGTCTGACTGGTCTAGTTTGTTTCAAAGTTAATGTTTAATGTAGAGTCCTGACTGTTTCCATTTGAACTATTGAAACATCTTTAGTAAATAAAAAAATCATATTATATTTAAAAAACTGGGACCACCACAATCCCAAATGGGAGTTAATTAGGGGATTAAAAGACAATAGATTATAGTTGCATCCAATTATGTAAAAAAATAAGAAAGTATATAAAAAGTCTTCTACAGATACACATATTTAAAAAAAATTGTTAAAAAAAAAATT